AACAAAGGATCCTGGAGGAAGAAAGCTTTATTCTGGTGAAAGACATATGGCCGCATACAAAAAGAAATGAAAGGAAGCCGGCAGCAGCCCCCACCCAGGGCCTGTCAGGAGGGAGCCCTGTGCAGTGTCTGGAGAAATGCAAACGCCCTGGACACATCCACAGCACCTGAAGGTAACGCAGCAGAGGAGACAGCACCTTTCACTGGGAGGCCAACTCCCCCAGGCAAACAAAGGAACGGACCCTGCAAACATCTGTTTCCCATAACGGCTCGGCTGCTGAAAGCAGCAACCTTTGAGCAACGGCTGAGCTGACGTCCCCAATAACTATCCCATCGCCGCTGCCTGGGCCAAGCAAACAGGCACATGAACAGACCTGCTCTTCCCACAAGACCCTCGCCGCCCTCTGAAAACAAGCAAACTCTCTTCAGAGGAAAAATAAAATCAGCACAAACAAAAATCTCCATGAACTTTCCCCGACAGCAACAATGACACCAAAGCATCTCTGATCCTTTCTCAAGGTCAACTGGGTGGACAAGAGGGGCCGGGAGGGCGCAGGTGGACGGCTCAGACGTAAGCATCAGGTTACCGGAGGAGAACACGTCGCCTGCTACCACCAACCCAGGCGGCAGGAAATTCAGGGAAGGGAGAGGAATGCACCGCGTCTGGACCCTCGCCAGCACCAGTAACAACCCCAGCGTGGTAAATGAAATTTCCTCTCTGGCTTCTCCCAATGTGCAAAATCAGGAGGAAAAACATCTATGTATGTGTAAAGACCTGTAGACTTAAGAACTGGAAATTTCTAAGATGAAAACCGTCAGAGCTGTGATGTCGCCGCGGTGTGACCACTGCTCTCAGCCCGGCCTGAGGCCAGAGCTCCACTCACCTTAGAAACGTAGCTAAAACCCCTGCGCCAAGCAGGAGGAAGCTGTTCAGAGGCACCAAGAGAGACAGAGATTTGCCAGGAGGAATCTGGAAACGGGAGAGGTGGAAGGGAGAGAGGGACAAACACATTTAATGTTCATGCACCTGCACTGGGGAAAACACGCTGGGCAACTAACCAGGAGGCTCCCTTCCCCGGACGCCTCAGCTGACACGGGGGGACACAGTGAAGAAGAGACACCTTGTCTACGGGGAGAAAGGAGTGGTCTTAAATAGAAGACGCAAATCAATGTGCGTGACTTGGGTTATTTTTAAAGACCTTGGGGGAAGAAGGCTTTACTGGATGGTGTTTGGGGCTCTGGCTGGTGTGGCTCAGTTGGTTGGGCACCACCCCCATGCACCAAAAGGCCACCGGTTCAGTTTCCGGTCAGAGCACAGGCCCGGGTGACAGGCCCCAGTAGGGGCCACGCAGGGGGCAGCCGGTCGATGTTTCTCTCACATCAATGTTTCTCTTTCTCGCCTCCCTTCTTTTCTCTCTAAAATCAATAAAAATAAAAATATTTTTTAAAAGAAAGTTGTTCTGGAGGGGTGAGAATGTAATTATAATAAAGGTAAATTTTCAAAAATGTTAGTTTCCGCTATGGGCAGGCAATCTCTAAGTACTTCAGGTGACATGAACTAATGTCCTCACAGGATTACATGATGCAGGAACGATTATTACTCCATTTACAGATGAGGAAACGGAGACCCGGGGATGTGGACTCACCTAGGACGACACAGAAGGGCTGGGCTTTGAAACAAGTCACTGGGAGGAAGGAAAATTCTTTGAAAGAGTAACCTGTCCGTCCAGGAGCCCACTGTCCTGCACAAAACCCAGAAAAATAAAAGTAACAGAGCAAGACAGGCAGAGTAAGTCATTAAAACTGAAAGAGAAAGAATTTAGATCAGTTTCAACAAAAACTTCCTAAAGGAAAGACTACGCAGGACAAACAAGTTCACGAGCAACATACCACAGAAGGCCCCTCACGGGGTGGAGCCCGCGGCCTTGCGGGGTGGTGTGAGAATCCCTCCCAGTGTGGAAGGGCCGACGGGCAACCTGTCCTAGGCCCAGAGAAGCAAGGCTGGGCTCTGATCAAGGAGAGCAGCGGGTGCGAGTGCCCCCTGTGCCTGGGCAGGGCTGTGCTCGTCTCGACCCTGGATCAGCACCCCGCTCCGGAGCGAGCCTGCAGACTGCGCTCAGCAAACACTTGCTGAAGGAACGGATTAGGGAACACGGAAGAGCGTGAACAGGACGTGCTTGTGGAAGGTTCCAGGTGGTCTGGAACGTGGAGGCGAGACTGACGCAGAAGGCGGACCCCCAGGAACCCGAGAGGAAAGCTGCCCACGGCACTGGAGGCCCAGCCCTGGCCGCATAGAGTCTGACTCGAAAGGACTAAGTGAGGCGACCAGGAGACAGAAACCAACGGGAAAAGCAGCTGCGGGCATCAGAGGCTGAGTCCTAGGGAAGCAACGTGCTCCCGTTTTACCGACGGTCTGAGCGGTAAGAGCGCCAGCCTGTGCGGACTAACGGTGCCCGCGGTAAGGGAAGCGGCAGGGGCCACGGGAGCCCCTTCCTCCGAGTGCAGAGCCACCAGGCAAGAGCTGGTGCCCAGGTCACCGCCACCCGGCTCCAGGTCACCGCAGTCGGTCGCTCGGCGTCCAAGTGCCCCGCGCGGCCCCCTCTGTGAGATAACGCACCTGCTCTCCGGCATGAAGGCGCAGAGATGAAATGAGAACGTGAGGGAGAAGAGACATGGAAATAAGGGACAAATAGGAAAAACACTTTGCGTTCCGATTTCACATAGAGATCGGCCTGGTCAGTGCAGCCTCGGAGGGTGACAGGCTGAGGAGAGCGAGGCATTCTCCGTGCGGCGAACACAGAACTCGTCCGTCAGACACCCGGCCGGACCGACCGCCTGCATCCCCGAGTCGTCCCAACCACGTGCACATTGCCCCCACCCCAGCTTTAAGGATCTCACGGTTCAGTGATGGAGACAATCATGAAAACAAATATTTGAAATCAATGAAATTTTTTTAAATAATAAAATTAGGAGGGAAAATACGCCCACGGTTAGGGGCGACTGCAGAAAAGACCCTATGAGAACGAACATTCATGTGAGTGAGACTTACCAAAACGTGTAGGCGAAAGATGTAAGAAATGCCCTCATCAAAGAAAACTCTGGTAAGAACACAGAATTATACATGTATATGTGACATGTTACACGTATCAATTATATGTGCACACATGCACAAACATCTATCTGTTATGTGTGCAAACATAAAGTTTATTACAAGAACATTTGTGTTTTATGATTTTTGTCGTCAAAATGACAAACCAAGTATGGCAAAGTCAGAAGTCGCCACCCGTGGCCGACTTGAAACATTAACGCTGCACGAGTCAGAGGCGCCTCTGCGAGGACTGAAGCACACCTGTCCCGGCACAGCCCTAAAACCACACCTGAGAGCATCAGCGGGCACATGAGGGGATAAAAATGAGAAGGCGATCAAGCAACAGGAGTTTCTATTTTATCAGGTTAAAAATAGATCAATGGTTCGAATGAGCTTTAAAAACAAGCAGGGTAGAGTCAACATCACAGAGCAACTGAAGAGGAGATAGCAGAGCACTTTCTTCTAGGTCGTCCAACCCACCGATATTCTCCTGAGCGCCAGAGCCCTCTCCCTTTCCTGCGCCCCGAGGGGATTAGGTGGGGCCAGAGCCCTCTCCCCTTCCTGCGCCCCGAGGGGCTTCAGTAGGGCCAGAGCCCTCCCCCGTTCCTGCACCCCGAGGGGCTTCAGTGGGGCCAGAGCCCTCTCCCTTTCCTGCACCCCGAGGGGATTAGGTGGGGCCAGAGCCCTCCCCCTTTCCTGCGCCCGAGGGGCTTCAGTGGGGCCAGAGCCCTCTCCCTTTCCTGCGCCCGAGGGGCTTCAGTGGGGCCAGAGCCCTCTCCCTTTCCTGCACCCCGAGGGGATTAGGTGGGGCCAGAGCCCTCCCCCTTTCCTGCACCCCGAGGGGCTTCAGTGGGGCCAGAGCCCTCTCCCTTTCCTGCGCCCCGAGGAGATTAGGTGGGGCCAGAGCCCTCTCCCTTTCCTGCGCCCCGAGGGGATTAGGTGGGGCCAGAGCCCTCTCCCTTTCATGCACCCCAGGGGGATTCAGTGGGGCCAGAGCCCTCTCCCTTTCCTGCGCCCCAAGGGGATTAGGTGGGGCCAGAGCCCTCTCCCTTTCCTGCACCCCAGGAGGATTCAGTGGGGCCAGAGCCCTCTCCCTTTCCTGCACCCCAGGAGGATTCAGTGGGGCCAGAGCCCTCTCCCTTCCCTGCACCCCGAGGGGCTTCAGTGGGGCCAGAGACCTCTCCCCTTCCTGAGCCCCGAGGGGGTTCATTGGGGCCAGAGCCCTCTCCCTTTCCTGTGCCCCAAGGGGATTAGGTGGGGCCAGAGCCCTCTCCCTTCCCTGCACCCCGAGGGGATTCAAGGGCTCCCTGAACTGAGCGGCTCCTTTGTTAACTTAGTCACACGGGTTAAGGCCCTGACGACATAAGACTCAGCCCAAAACCCCAGACGGAGGGTGCAGTGAACGACTGAGTGGTGGACGGGTGGGGAACAGCCTGGGCAATAAACGTGCGCGACCGGCAGAGAACCCGCCGGCAAAGCTTTACCATTGGAACCAATACGCTGCGGGAAGACCGGACACGACGGAACCGCAGTGTACACAGGCGACTCTGAAGGAAACACGGTTCGCCCTGCGTAGTGGGTGGCTTACTTTTCTAGGATGATGTCAGGTTCTCTTCCTATTTTTCATTCAAGAATACACTTCTGGATACGGAAAACGGAGGAGTATGGTTTCTGAAATGGCACTGAGGGCACATAGTTCTTTGATTCATACAAAAGAAAACAATGTTTATATGACTTATAACTCACCCACAAACTTTATATAAAGAAAAGGAAATGTTTCTAGGAAAAGCGTCAAGAGCAGAGGTAAAAAGGAATCACCTACGAGAACAACAAATCGCAGTGTTTAATCACAGGTCACATTAATACCATACGAGGAAAAGCGAGAGACACCGAAGCGGCGTAAAGCGCTGTACCTCCGAGCTCCTTCACGTTCAAGACGGCGTTCTGGAACGGCACCGCTTTTATACTAAAACCTGGAATTAGAAAGCAAACAGAAAACAAGTCAGTGACAACCCTTTAAAACACACAAGATGCTCAAATCCCCTTTTTTAGTCACATTAAGAGTTACTTTTCTTAGGTCTTATTTATACTAGAAACTCGATTTCCGAGATACCTTGATAACCTGATATTATCTGCTATTGTTTTTCAAAACACACTTGTGGGTTACAGCAAAATATAACCCTTTTCTTCAACACGTTGTCCTAGTCTTTAATTAATGTCTAATGTCACTTTGAAAATTTTATTAATTGTAAGAAAGACACTTGGAAATATAAAGAAACTTCAAAGAACATATTAAATCTACTGGGACCTTTGCATCGAACGAATCCTAAGGTTAATTTTTCTCTCACATGTAGCTGAGCAACCCTAGAGATTAGGGGATCTAAGTTATAACCATCTTATATTAGAATTCCAGGGTATTTACGCTGGTTTTCTTTTAGGGACGTGGTTAATGTCATACATACATTTTTCTTAAAAGTACAATCATACTTGTTTACGCAAGGTGATTATTTTATAATGCATGCAATAAATGATTTCTGTTATAAAGATATATTCAGAGTATAGTTTTAGGATTAAGCAGGCATCTAGGACTTCGCTATATCGTTTAAGTCGATTCAGTTGTAAGACAGGTGAGCGTGCATGTACCTAACACGCCACCCAGGTAAACAAAGGTACACACGCAATATTTCTGGAAGGATCCTCGAGCGACTGAACTCATAGATACTGGGGAGAACTGGGGTCTGGAGGTCTTAACTAGTACAAGATGCTTTAGCCCCACTGAAAGTTTTCACCAGACGCAAGTACCCCTTTTTCAATGACAAGCCCTGCTAATTTTTAAATTTGACTCAGTGATTTTCTGCGCACCCAATCAACTTAAGGTTTTAAGCATTATTTCATATGTGCAATTACCAGATAGATTAAACACAGTCCCTTTTTCAAGAAACTATTATCACAGAGTAAGAAAGACGACTTGGAAACACCTTCTGCGGGAAGCCAGTCAGGTGACACCGGACAGGTAAAGTACACAAGGGAAGGCGTTCACGAGAGGAACTTTCACTCAGCCGTGCTTTACTTTATGAAAACAATCAATACGTTCCTTTTCACGGGCCACCCGCCCACTGCCGCCTCTTGTAAACTTTCTCAGCACTTCACGGCTCTATACGTTGGGTAACGTAAGGGAGTGGAGATCGTGTGATGGTCAGGCAGTGACCTGGCGTCAGACAGAGCCGGTTGGAATGAGCCCTGGGCCCGTGGGTGACGTCCTGGCCCAGGCTTTCAGGCCTGCAGGCGGGGTGACAGGCCCCTCGCAGTTGTTGGAAGGCTGAGGGGATGTATGCATTATTACCTTTATCACTGGGCCCGGCACAGATGCACACACCATCTGTAACGGCTGGCACTATAGTCAACCAATGCTCTACTGTTGCTGACTGAATCATTAGGCGAGTGCACCTTCTGAGCTCTGAGCACAGACTCTGCTGGAAATGCTGGGCATTAATTGATCAGATCCTTGGCTGGTGCTGCCCAGATCACCCCGCAATGAAAAGTACCTTTGCCCGGAGTGACGAAGTGCGAAGAGCTGACACCTGCTGCCCAGCATGTCAGTGTGCACCGGGCTCGCTAAGAACCTTCCAGAACACCCCGATCCCGTGCGGGTTCGCTGCAGCCCGGCTCAGCAGCACGGTTAGTGGCAGGTGCAGAAATGAGGCACAGCCCAGGGGCCTGCGAGGAGGCTCTCCAGGTGTCTGGCCTCTGGGAGATTCGGGGAAGGAAGCCAGTGCCACTCACAAACTGCCGGCACCAACTGGGCCTGCAGGAGGCGTGGATGCTTGGATGCATCTCCTGCCCTCCCAGGGGTGCGCATGGACTAAAGGGCAGTGACTGACATCCTGAGAGCAAAACGCCCCCCGCAACACTGAGCGGTGAGCTAGCGGTTCCGCTTGGGACAGCTCAAGGGAGGGTTTTCCAGGGGAGCGGGACAGGCCCCAGCTCTGGAAAAGTCACAGCCGTGCCACAGGGCAGCCGGGCTGCATCTGCTCGGGTTCTGAAAAGCTGATGGTGCGCAGGCCTGCAAAGGGAAGCGGTATCCTCCCAGAAACTGTCGAACTCACGTGCAAACTACAGTGTGTGAAATGTTTTATTCCAACAGGCCGCTTATATCACTGTTACCGTCCTTAATCCCCGCACAGACTCCGTAATAAATCGACCACAAAAATGTCCTCAGACGTCACGCTAAAGGAAGGAAGCTCACAGTGACACTTTACAGGCATATAAACGTTTCTGAGAATGCTCGTAAATGCGCCCTCTCCGAGCGGAACACGTGCGGCTGGATTTACACGGCGAAGGTGCGCAGACGTCCACGTTGCCGTCTCCGCGTCACTCCTACAATAAAGCCACAGTAATTGATGTGCGAGACGAACCTGGTGATCAGTCCGGAAAATAAGAACATGTACTGTGCGTGGAAAGGAAGCAAACTTTCCCATTTCAGTCTTTCTAAATGTTTGTCGGGATTGAAAAGAACGAAAAGTCAGAGGCACAGGTTCGGTTCACCAGCAGGGCAGTCACGAAGGGTGACAACCACCCAATCGGCTGTTTACACTGGGCTGGGCGAGGTCGAGAAGGAGTGAATGTTTAGTACGGTGCAAAGTTCCAACCATCAAAATACGTTTCTTAGAGGGTTGCTCTGAGGAGTAATCGGCCCCAGACGGCACTGGCTCTGCAGCAAGTGCCCAGGTTCCAATTCCAGCTCTACCACTGCTAACTGTCTGACTTTGAGCAATTTACTTGATTCCCCTGTGCCTCAGTTTCCTCGTCTGTAGATGAGAGTGGACAGCACTCAGTGCTATAAACTGTGTTTGCTTTTTTAAGTAAAACTAAAACTCCAGAACATTCATGGTCAGCAAACGACTCCTGGATGCTCTCTCCCCGTCAAGACCACATGGGGCCTCGGGCTCTGATGGATTATGTAGCAGCGGTGAAATAAGACGTTCCGTCTCGCCCGGCCAGCATGGCTCAGGGGTTGAGCGTCGACCTAGGATCCAGGAGATGAGGGTTCGATTCCCGGTCAGGGCACATGCCCGGGGTGCGGGTTCGATCCCCAGCAGGGGGCGTGCAGGAGGCAGCCGATCAATCACTCATCATTGATGTTTCTCTCTCTCTCTCTCTCCCCCTTTCTCTCTGTGAAATCAATAAAGATATATTTTTAAAAAAAAGACTTGCTGTCTCGGCAATCACAAACAAATGCTCATCCAGGACTTCCATAGTCTACAAATCTGTGGTCTCCCCTCTCCCCCAAATCTAACCTGCCACCTGGTTCTCGGACACGTCCGCTCTCCTCATGCTCTCTGCACAACTCAGCGTGGCCGCCCCCACCCCCTGGACAGCTGCAGGGGCCTCCTCACTGAATGCTTTGCATCTGGGCCACCTCCACACACTGGCAGGAGCGCTCTTCCTGAAGCCCCTCAGCCCAGACCTGAGAGTCTCTCAGTGCCGGGGCAGAGTCCGCAGTACCTAACGAGGCCCCACCTGCTCGAGGTCTTCCCCCTGCCCCCACATTACTCAGCACCAGCTTCCCCCCTTTCCTATTCTTCAGTGGGCCTAAAACAAGCCACACTCCTTCCACCACAGGGCCTTTGCACACACTGCTCCAAAAGCCGGTGCTCTTCGCCCCCCTGGCAAAATCTTCATCCTTCGGGTAGTGTTTTAACTTCACTTCCAGGCGAGCTTTCTCTGGAGTGTCTGAGTTTTGGGGTTTACTTTGAGTTTGGGGTTTTATTTTCTTTGGGGTTTTTTTGGAATTCGTGTTCTTCCAGCACTCAGCACTTCTACGTGATTCCACAGTTGTAACTACCTATCGGTTTATTTGTCTGTTTCGTGTCTGTCCCCCGCTGTACTGCCCAGCGATGGGGAAGTGGTGGAGTGTCTCCCGCAGGCCAGTTCTAGGCACGTGACAGGGTCTCAGTATTTGTTGAAAGATCTGTGCTCAGGGCTATTTGCTTCCTAATTTAGCTGTCACAACAGTCCTAATGTCAATGTTACAAGACTGTCCCAGGAGGACAGGGACACCTAGAGGGTTAAGCACCCTGTCAAAAGCACCAAGTGCCACATTCAAACCTGAGCTTGCCCCACCCTCCTCCAACAAGCTCATAGATTCAACTCTTTTGTCCAATTTTGAGCCTAAACACCGGTGAAACTAACTGGGGCAATACACACACATATCTAACAAACTCACTAATTTACTTTCCCTGCTACTTATAAATAATCCAACATAAGGAACCAAACTGCCTGTTCTCGGGTCTACTTTGCACGGCCTTCTGATTAATGGAATAAAAACAATAGCAGGAGTTTAGAAAGTGCTTTTTAATAAACATTATAATAAAACCAAGTCAGGCGGGCAGAGAAAGTCCAGCTGACTCAGCCGAGAGCCTCACTGCTTCTTCCTACAAAACCAGTGTCCCTGCCGCTCTGCACAGGAAGCCACTGCTGATGTGACAACACCGTGTCCCAGAGGCCCGGCCACAGCTCTACACCCGCCAGTCTAAGATGGGGTGCTTTGCCTTAAACCCCTCATCTGCAAAATCAGCGGACTCGATTAGCTCCTTAAAGTTTCATTAGCATCGGGATTCCTGTTTCTATTAAACAGGAAGGAGGGAGCAGCAACAACAGAGCCCGTCACCAATGGCTTCTGGCAACTGGCTGAAGCCCCAGGAAAGGTCTCCCCGGACTCTGCTCCAGCGACTTGAGGGCTGGGGCCTTAGCCACACGGTCACTTTTTCCTGGCCCCCTACGCTGCCCGAGTAAGGCTGAGACCTCTCCTAAGAGTTAATCCCACCACTTCTAATAAATATGTGACTTAGCAACTCTTTGGGGAAATAACTGTTTGCACAGACTTTCAGTTTTTGTCTTTTAGTCTTTAAATCCAACAAAACCTGTGACATAAGAGAGATGGATTGGAATCTTTAAGGCAGGGAAAGCATTT